CTTATCCAATTTAATTAAAGGGCATTGCTCATAAATATTATTTGTTTTTATTTTTTCTGTTTTTATCATAACTGTTTTTGTGGGGCCAAATTGCTTTTACCCTTTCGACTAAACACATGGAGGGGAATTTTTTTTTGATCTGAATGAAATTTTTTATCAGGAGAATTATAATGAGATTCTAAAAAAAGAAAATAATTATCAATAAATCTCAATAACAAATAAGCTGTTATTATTTATTATTTTAGAACTTGTCATTCTATATTATTATTAGGATATCTTAGTAATTATATTCTTTATATGGGGCTTTATTACAATTTTTCTTTTTTTATTTTGCTTATAACCATTATTTAAACTTTAACTGCAAAATAAATGTTCACAACCTTTCACTTATCTCACGCATAGCGGAATGTGGAGTATACATTTTTTTTAACTTGAAGGATTTAAATTAAATCCACACAGTTTTATTTTGATCATTCATTTATATATCTTTTTACAAAATAAATTATCTAAATAAAACCACCTAGAAAAATAAGTGTTTTGAAGTTAAATTTTCAATGAATTTTAAAAAATATGAACTTAAATAAGTAAAACAAGAATTCGCTTCAATTGCTATATTTTCATTCAATTACCAGAATAATCTGCAGTAACTTGGCAGCTTTTTATAATTTTTGTTTATATGATAATGGTGCCCACTATCCTTAGAAATTAGGGGGGAGGGGGAAGTAATAATATGAGTGCCCACAAATTAATTTTTTGCTGTCTTCATACATGTCATTTTCATTGGTTTATACAATTTTTTTCTAAAAAAAAAATTAGTACACACTACCTTTGATTCTTAATATAAGATCTTATTTAATTTTTATTTTAATTTTAAATATAAAACCTCAATCCACTATGTCTCTCATATTTATTTATTTTTTTTCAAAATAGTCAAATATTTTAGGAAAGACAATACCTGCTTATTATAATAACTAACTTAATTATTTTTTTAATCTTATCAAATTAACCAACTAATTCTTATATTTAGCATCAGAAGTAGTAATTAATGAGCCCTGCTGGCAACCAAACTATCCTCCATTAATTAGGCGGTGGAAGTGTTTGATAATTATTTCACTACTTGGGAATGATTTCGATAGCAAGTAAAGGTTCATGAAAATGGCAAAACAAAATGTGAATCATACTTTATTTTCATGTGCCTAAAACTCTGACCTCAACCACTTGTAAAACTAATCAACACCGAAATCTCAATATAAACATAAATTCAAGACTAAATAACATTAATTTTCTTTAATTTTCTGTAGAAGTTATATGAACCTCTTCTCATTTTTTATATACACGCACCGTCTTTATTCAAAATAAAGAATTTGTGTCATCCGATCTAATATAAATTTTAATACAATTATAATTTTTTAATCAAAATTTCAAAAATATCTTTGTCAATTTTATATCATGCTTCCTCTCATTCTATTTATAAGCTTTAAATTTAGGAAGAAGTGCAGTCTATTTTATAAGTTTTAATTTAAATTTGTCTTAACATTTAATATTTTTTTTCCTAATGTCGCCTTTTATTATTTGTCTCTTATTATATTTTTTCACACATTCTTTTTTTATCATTTTTCTCATTTATTATAATAGCATATTTAGAAACAAAAGTCTATTTTGGTCTTTTTATTGTTTTTAACTAATTTTAATTAATTATTTGTTATCTATAAATTAGTCATTTGAAACTTATAATATGAACAAAGAGAGGGTACTAAATAGATTCACTGTAATTGTCATTGTACTCCTCCTTCCAGAATGTAAAAGTTAGTTAGTTAGTTAGTTGTGGTTTGAAGCAAAACACAACACGTTAATTAATTTTATCTATCATGTTTATTATTTTTTATCAAGTTAATTTATTTAGCCTATAAACTAATATATGCATAATCTAATCTCTTTTTTTTGGTACAAAAATTTTAGAAAAAGGGTCAGACTCATCATAATCCAAAGACAGAAACTAACTCATGATCTATCAGGGTCTTGCATAATCTAATTTTATGTTTTGGAAAATCATCTCACATCTTCCTTAGAATTAAGTAATTTTTTTTTTTTAGTATCTTAAAATCAGTTAAATAGCTCTTAATTAAAAATGGAAAGAGTAGTCAATTGCATTGTAAATAGTAAAACCAAATAAACTTTTAGTTAAACTAATATTTTTGACCCTATTCTTTTGATATCTTCTTCTAGCGTCTTAAATTCTTCATTCTCTCAAACATAATATTCAAAGAAGCAATCATCAAAGTTGAACATTGGCAAACAAAAATTCATCAACTTTCAAAAGTTTAGTTTCTTATTATATACTCTAAACTCTCCTTTTTGACTCCTGAAATCTATTTAATAATTTTAAATAATATGAAATTTACGGGTCATATTATTTATACAAATTATAAACATAATTGCACATGACGCCTTTCAAACCCACTATAACATGCAAGTCCAGCTAATTAGCGTATTAAATGGATGAAAGTCAATGATTTGACTTATTCCAAATGCTTAAAAGTCAATACAGATACATGTGTGTGTATTTTTTTTTTGGCCAACGCATGTGTGTGATGTTAGTAGAATTTTAGACAAATATGACAAAAAATTTAAAATATTAATATTATTAATTTTATTGTATTAGGAAGATTAGAATTGTGGACACTCTAATTACACTTCATCAGGACATTGTACTCTTATTATCTCAGTTATTTACAAGTAAACACTATTTTCAATTTCCAATGCACTATATTATTTTCAATTTCCGATGCACTCTCTTTCAAGTTTCAACATAAAAGTAATAGGATGATTTTTTCATCCAACATTTTTCACATCCTCAGTTTACGAAAGCGACAAAGGAAGGCTTAAAAAAAAAACATTCAAGGAAATGAAATCTTTTAATTAACAATCTATTTAAATATTTGGTTGTTAAAATACATGTAGCTAGTTCCATTTGATGATATCTTAAAAGTTACTCCTCTAGTCCTATTTGTAAGGTATTTTAACATATTTCACACAAACTAAGAAAAATCTTAATATGTATTAATTTTTCATTAAAATATAATAAATTTCTAACTTTACTCATATTTAATATATACATCTTTAAAAAAACACTTCTTCCATCCTAAATATAAGATTCTTATATGTGTATAATGGTCTTATATTTAGGATCGGAAAAGTAACTATCTAAACTATAATAAATGAAAAACAATATAGTACACTCATAGTAAGAATTTAATGAAGTGGTTTATAAATAGAACTAAGAAATATCTTCTTTCTCGGTCCTATAAATTGGAGCAGGAGAGTAATTTTCAATCCTAACTTAGACACATACATATATGTGCTTAGCTCTCATGGCCACGCCGCCCTTATCCCAAGTCTAATTCTACATTTATCCCCCATTCCCTTAGTTAACGTTACTCGGTGGCTTGTTATACATAATTTATATGCGATTACTTTTGATTATTTTATCAGAAATGTATTAGTTTGATGTTCAATAATAATTCTTCATTAAAAAATGAGGGTGATAATTAGTCTATTCTAATGAAAAAATTGTATTATGCACAGGTTTTTATTAAATAATATTATTGGCGATAACAACATTTTAAAAAGGATTAATATTATTGGCGATTCCTACAGTTTGATCCAAATTTTGATTTTAATTCTTAGCGTTTCAAATTGTGATTTTTAGTCCTTATAGTTTTGTTTGAGTTTAACAAAGTTAACTTTTAGTTAACATTGTTAAATATAGGGATAAAAATTAAAATTTGTTGAAGTATAAGAACTAAACTAAAATTTATTAAAAATCCAAAGGTTGGACAAGTTTTTATGTTGGTCCCTACTCTTTTAACTAGTTTTAATTTTGGCCCAAGTACTTAGCCGCGTTAACTTAGATCAAGTTTTTACAAACCTATGGAAAAAAAATTATGATTTTAAATTACATGGATCAAAAGAAAAATTTAATCAAATTATAGCACTTGTCATTAGATTCTACTACCTCTGGTCCTTAATATAAGATCCTGTTTGACTTTTATTTTGGTCTTAAATATAAGACCCTAATCCATTTTGTCTCTCATAGTTATTCAATTTTTTCCAAGATAGTCTTTCTAATAATTATAGTTATAATTAATACATTTGATTAGTAAGGATATTTTAGGAAAGACAACACCTATTTAGGACAAATGACTAACTCAACTTACTTCCTTAATCTCCTCAAATTAGTCAACTGGCTCTTATAATTAGGAACGGAGGTAGTATTTTAAATGTTGTACTAACTTTTTTTCCTCTTTCAACTAGACCAACAACAAAAATAATTATTTAAAAAATTAGTTATGGTGAATAATAGTAAAACTATCTAAACTAATTTTGGCTCCCCGCTTGTTCTGAGTATACCGATCCTTAATACTCCTCCGGTCCTAAATATAAGACCCTTATACATATTAGTATAAGGGTCTTACATTTAAGATTTTTTTTGGCCAACTATATATATTAATGATATACTCGTAATAATTATCATCTTTTCGCAATGGATGAATAAAATATTACGAGTACTAATATTTCGTCAATCTCGGCCGATTCTCTTTTCGTTGTTTTTTTGGGGACAGAGACAAACAGATCCGGCTCGGTCCACAGGTTTACCAGTCTGCGGGTCTGGGGGTGGCTCAGATGATCAGTGAAAGAGTAAGGGCATTTTCGTCTTTCCAGATCAACCGTCCGACATCTAGCGCGCCAATGTCCCCCATCCTCCACCCTTGGCTGTATTTTCCTCCGCCTTTACTACACAATCAAACCAACCTCAGAAAATTACTATAACTAATCATCAATCAATCCCTAAATTAAAATGTCGTTAACAAGATAATTAAAGAATTTCCCCACTAATTAATTGATTGATTAATTAATTTATTACTTATTCTGCCTTGCCTTTCAAAGAACTGATATTAATTAATTACTATTTCCCCTTATTATTATATGTCTCCCTCCACCATCTTCGTCTCCTTGTCTGTACTACCTTGACTTGAAAGAAAACCCTAAGAATCTCTCACTCTTACTCACTCTCACTCTCCCTTACTAGGATCTCGAGCTTCTGGCTTTCTCTGGCATTGAATGGTTACCGTTAGATCTCCGATCACGGCAATGTGAGTGCAGCCAATGTACATGACCCCGTCTCCGATCATCCTTACTGGCGTGTATGTGAATTAAGCTTTGGGTCCAAGTCCCTGATTCGATTTGTTTAAGCTTATGTGGCTGTTTCCATTTTCCTTTTCCTTTTGATACGATCTTCTGCTTTTGTTGCTGCCCAGCCGACTATTCTTTACTTGGTCTCTCGTGAAAGTGCTTTATTCTCTCTCTCTCTCTATCTCCTCCTTCTCTCTCTCTTGGTTGAAATAATAATGCAGTGTTCATTTTCAGCTTCATGTGCTTTTTTGGGGGTAGATATGGGTATTAGTTGCCCGGATCGGATTGACGCTGGCAACTGATATTGCTTGAGCTGAATTCTGAAATGGGTTTTCAAGTTTTTGAACCAGTTGGTTTTGAGAAAAGCCTTTGATGTCATTAAAAAAATGTGAATATGAAAATTTCGACTTCTTTTTACTTTTTGGCTAATTGAGCTACTAGATTTAGCTTGAATCCTACTCTCCTTCCGCTTTCTCCATTCTACTCCTCTGTTTACTTTGCTGATCGGAGCTGCATTCTCCAGCTGTTTGCTTCTCTTCAGAACTATGATTGGCTGATCATTGTGATTCCTGTTCTTCTCTAGCCCGGTCGTTTGGAGATCAGTTGCATATGGTTGGTTGTGCGTGTCTTCATTGCTTCTGCTCATCTAATGAATTTTTTAGCCATATTTTTCGGATGCTGATTTCGGTTCCAAAGACGGAAACTAGTAGCTCTTACTCCTCTTATGGTCTTTTCTTCGGTTCAAATTGGATTACTTATTTTTTGTCCGTTATTACTTATTATATATTAATTTTTGCTTGGATATCCTCACTACTGTTGTCATCTTGTCATTTACAATTCGAATTCCGGCGATATATACTTGATTGGTACTGATTGGGTCATGGAACAGATCTCGAGAACTGTTGAAATTAGCAGTTGATCAATGAAGATGAGGTTCTCGGAGTTTAGGTGCTTATGTATAATTTTGTCAACCCTTCTGATTCCTGGGAAGGCAGAGATTTACATAGCAACTGTTGAAGGTGAGCCTGTCATAAGTTATTCAGGAGACATTGATGGCTTTGAAGCTACTGCTGTGGAATCGGATGAGAAGATTGATACCACAAGGTATTAGCTAATCTCAGCTGCTTTCTCCCTCATTCTTGAGAAAAACACAGGAACATCATTCCTTCGACCTTTAGCCGCCCTTTCTTTGAGTTGAGGCATATGCCAAAATTAATCACAGTCATTAATTTTCCTCCAAATTCAAGCATAAAACAAAGGCCGGAAGTTCTGATCATGGTGATGTTTAAACAGACCAGCTATCTTCCAGAAAAGTACTTTATTTTCCCCCCTTTTTTTAATATATAAGATTTGGAGTGGTGCATACTATGTTTTACCGTTTCCTGATATAATTCTTGAACTTAGGGACATCCTTTTGAGGCTTGGGTTTTTTGCATGGTCAAATGAACATATCAGTGTATTTTCACAACCTATTATTGGCATGAATTAATTCTTGAGAAAGAAAAGCTGGGGAATTGACAAACTTAAATTTTGCTACTATGTTTTTCACAATATAATTTTCCGCCAAAAAGAAGGGTGGGTCTCTTCATTTTGTTCTAAATTCCACTGTTGCCACATCCTTGACTGAAATGGAGATTTGACGTATATGATTCTCGTCAGCACATAACGGCATATATATTTTAGTGTCTTGCGTAGGCTTCTTCCCAAGAATTTATTGATAGCCATTGCCTCTTCTTTTTCCTTTCGTCTGGCTACGGGAAATATGGATAAAGCTAAAACACCAACCAACACAGTATGTTGTAAACCCCCCACTCCCCAGAAAAAAAAAAAAAAGGTTACATGAGGACCCCCCCCCCCAAAAGTTACATGAGATTTCTTAAACAAGCCTCCGCTTTTTGTGCCCCCGTTGGCTGCACTGAACCATGAAATGGAAATTGTTAAGTTGTGGTTGCTTACTTTTTCTGTGCGCATTTTCCAGTGAATCGTTTACGTCTTATGCCCGTCACCTCGAGAATAAACATGATATGCTTCTTGGGATGCTGTTTGAGCGTGGGACCTACAAGAAGCTCTATAGCTATCGACATCTAATAAATGGGTTTGCTGTTCATCTTTCCCCTGAACAGGTAAAGTCTTGCATTATTTATATTACTATTCTAGTTATAACAATTTTATTTTCAGTTGGTTGAAATCATTTCTACATTCTGTTTTTCTCATGCTTTCCTCTTGTAAATGGGTAGGCAGAAATTTTAAGACGTGCTCCTGGAGTGAAATGTGTTGAAAGGGACTGGAAAGTGAGAAGACTTACAACACATACGCCTGAATTTTTAGGACTTCCAACTGGGGTATGGCCTACAGGAGGTGGTTTTGATCGGGCTGGAGAAGACATTGTGATAGGATTTGTGGACTCTGGGATCTATCCACACCACCCCAGCTTTGCAACACACCATACTGAACCATATGGGCCAGTTCCAAAATATCGAGGAAAATGTGAAGTTGATCCAGATACTAAAAGGAGTTTTTGTAATGGAAAGATTATTGGAGCACAACATTTTGCTCATGCTGCAATAGCTGCAGGGGCTTTTAACCCTATAATTGATTTTGCTTCTCCTTTGGATGGGGATGGTCATGGAAGGTTAGGATTTTCCCCCCTTTTTAATTAATTTGTTCGCTGAGGAGTGAGCTGTTGAAAGCCATGAAAGTAGACCTTTTTACTTAACTCATTCTTTTAAATGTATATGATCCATCATGTGGCATATGTGAAAGCATTATCTTGGTCTGGTACAGGATAACTGTCCTGCCATTTGTATTCTTAGGTTGTCAGAAATCTTTAAACACGTTGTACTGCCACGTAAGAAGAAGACTTTGGAAGATATACACTTAACACATTTTGTTTCTCGAGGAATTTATTGATAAAATACTTTCCAATACTTGAAACCAGTGGCAATTCTAAAATTCTTTTTCTTATGTGCTGAGTTGGAAAGATGCTATTGTGTGCTATTATGGGCTGGGGAAATTCATCTATCTGATCCTGAATTAGGTGAAGGAAACTTAACTTTGTGTTGGAAGCACTCACTTTGTTGCTCTATTTTATTGCCTCTTCAAAGTACTGGATGATATGAAATTTTCAGAGCTTAGAAACAAGGGAGAATTACAATGAGGTGTCAAGGAAGAAAAATAATTACAAAACAAGTCCCAAAAGTTGTCATTTCCTATTCTGGAACTTGTCATTATAGGTTGTTTAGGTTGTTATTGGGACTTTTTAATAACTATTTTTCTTCTTTGGAGCCTCATTATAATTCTTCTTGTAAACAACGCTGCTGAGTTCCTTTCAATGAATTACCATATTATTGGACAAGAGGACAACCTCAAATGTTTTTCCTCACAAAAGATGCTGTGAATCAGCTATTAGTATTTGATGGCAAATTAAAAAAAAATAAAAATGAATGCCTTCCGCTGTGGGTTATCAACCCACCCTCAGTACTGAAATGGGTGAAATCTATTAGTAGCCATTGTAGATTCTATTTTTGCATATAAGAACAAATGAAACAACAGGGTTATATGTTAATGCACAAATCATGATTTTTGGAGTTATTAATGCACAAATTATGATTTTTGGAGTTATCTAATGGGATGAAAATATATGTAGTGTGCTTCATGTTATACTTTTCAGGTTTTTGAAGTGGATAGGATCAACTACTATTGCCTTATCTTGTAATTTGATCACTTTTATTTATTATAATATTTCCATGTGTTTCTTCGCATCACATCTGGCAGTCACACAGCAGCTATTGCAGCTGGGAATAATGGAGTTCCCGTGAGGGTGTATGGCCATGAATTTGGGAAAGCAAGTGGAATGGCTCCCCGTGCCAGGTGAGGAATAGTAATCTGGCAAGTTATTGTTTGAATTAAAACTGGGAACTACAGCCTTTTGCTGCATCAGACACTTGGCATATTTGTGTATAGGATTGCCGTATACAAGGCTCTTTACAGGCTTTTTGGAGGGTTTGTTGCAGACGTAGTTGCTGCTATTGACCAGGTATGTGTATACATACATGCTTTATCTTATTTGTCCTTGTTTCCTAGCTATCTACCTAGTATTCTTCATGGGGATTTGGCTAGAAGGTGGCTCACTTATGCTTAATCAATTATTTTTTGTGTACTATCATATAACTTATGTAAGAAGAAAGAGGAGATAGAAGAAAGAGATTCTTTGTAGCAGTGTGCAGAATACAGCTTTACTGTTGATAGTTTTCTTTTAACTCATTGGTTTTGGGTCTTCTTTTTCCCGGATCATATGAAGCTTAACAGTTTGTGCTATCAGTTTGATCCATATGAGTGCTGTTGCAAGGTTTATTTCAATGTCTAATTTTTTAAGTTTGAGGTTGACAGGCTGTGCATGATGGAGTGGATATGCTTAGTCTTTCAGTTGGACCAAACAGTCCGCCAGCAACAACCAAAACCACTTATTTGAACCCTTTTGATGCCACGCTTCTTGGAGCTGTCAAAGCAGGTGTATTTGTTGCACAGGCTGCTGGAAATGGTGGTCCTTTTCCGAAGACCTTGGTTTCGTACAGTCCATGGATAGTATCTGTAGCAGCAGCAATTGATGATCGTAGATATAAAAACCATCTGACCCTTGGAAATGGAAAAAAATTGGCTGGACTTGGGTTGTCTGGTGAGTAAACCAACTTACCACAATTTTATTTGGATAATTTATTTTCAATAAGGAAATCGTAATATGAGATATGGCGTTGAAGATTGAGGTCAATTTCATGTTCAAGAAAATTGTTTCTTGTCATTCTAATGAAAGATAGAAAAGATTTATGCCAAAGAAAGGAAAAATTATTCATGTCAAATATCTTTTATTTGCAGTGACTGAACTTATTAAACTGTCACCCCCTCTGTAAAATTAAAAGAAGGGAAAGAAAAAGAATAGATGAAATACCAGGATATCAAAGACTGCGAAACATTTAGGTTGGTTTGTTTGGTGAAATTAGAACTTGACTTTGAAAGCTATGTTATCAAAGTGAATACATTGGTTAGTTGGAGAAATAAGATAATCTGAGTGTTCTGTAAAATTTATGCTTACGTGCCTTGGCACTTTTTTGGCTGGTCTGCACTCTGCAGATATTAGTTGTCTGTAGTTGCCAATAGATATTTGGTCTTTGCATTGATGATCGATGTTTTATGGCTTTTTGCAGCTTCAACACGTGCAAATAGATCGTATACATTGGTTGCAGCAAATGATGTGCTGTTAGATTCTTCAGCTATGAAATACAGCCCCACAGATTGCCAAAGACCAGAGGTTTTAAATAAGAAATTGGTAGAAGGGAATATTCTTCTTTGTGGCTATTCTTTTAACTTTGTTGTTGGTACATCATCGATGAAGAAAGTTGCAGAAACAGCCAAGGCTCTTGGTGCAGTTGGATTTGTTCTTTGTGTGGAAAATGTTTCTCCTGGTACAAAATTTGACCCAGTCCCTGTTAGCATTCCGGGAATTCTTATCACAGATGTCAAGAATTCAAAGGTACTTGACTCAACTTTTTTGTCATATTTGTGTAAAGGCAGATCGATTATGATTTATGACAACTGCTATCATCTGCCATCTGTGTTATCTCTTACCCAATAACTTATCACAATGTGGTTATTTTTCTCTTCTACCTGCCCTCTATAGCATTTGTTATGATCACAAAAATGTCATACTAATCTTGTGATTTGGTGCTTGTAAATCACTATTGTTCAGGAACTTATAGATTATTACAATATCTCGACGCCAAGAGATTGGACTGGGCGGGTGAAGAGTTTTAAAGGTGTAGGTAATATTGGGGATGGGTTAACGCCTATCCTCCACAAATCTGCACCACAGGTGGCATTATTCTCCGCTCGAGGGCCAAATATTAGGGACTTCGGCTTCCAAGATGCAGATCTTCTCAAACCTGATATTTTAGCTCCTGGTTCATTGATTTGGGCTGCCTGGTCTTTAAATGGAACCGATGAGCCTAATTACGTTGGTATGTTAGCAATGATTTATCTAACTAGTTAAATTGTCGATGTGTGAATATTGTGGTTTGTCTGGATGTTGTGCTGCTTGAAGCAGAATTTGTTTTTCTATTTCGTCTAAGTTGATAAATCAGTCTAAGACATCCTCCTGGTAGGAAAAATGTAAAAACAGAAAAACATATGCAAAAAAGCCATTGTACTAATGTGTTGAAGAGTTTTTATTTTTCTTTTTCCCTTTTTTGCTAGAAAAAAGAAATATGCTCTACAAATATCTGTAGTGATATTTAGGGTTATCTGTTTGCTCTGAGCTTTCTACCTTTTCCTGCAAAAGAAATAAAAACAATTAGTTTGTTAGTAGTGATATTAAAAGTAAAATCATAATATCATACCAAAACTTGGGGAAACCAAATTTAATTTTTATATCGGAAGATGTTAAACATAGCGTAATCAAATTAAATTCAAAAGAGATGAAGGTAATTTACTTAACCAAAATAAATCACAAGTAAAACATAAATAATAGTGGATAGCATCCAATGCGAATTTCTTTGAACAAATAAGATTTCAAGTAGTTTATGCTCCAATAAAAATAAGTGGAAATGTTTTGGACTCCTAAAAATTATCATTTGGTTACCTACTTTACCCTTTGATTCTTAGTCAATTTTGGAAGACTTATAATCAGAAGGTGGAGAATTGTAGTACTAGGCGAAAAAGATGATATTATAGATTTGTTTAAAACGATAAATGGCTTGAGCAGGAGAGGGATTTGCCATGATATCTGGAACTAGCATGGCTGCACCACATATAGCTGGGATAGCTGCCCTAATTAAGCAAAGGCATCCGCATTGGAGCCCGGCAGCCATCAAGTCAGCGTTGATGACAACAGCAACTACTCTGGACAGAGCAGGAAGGCCTCTTCTAGCACAGCAGTATTCTGAAACAGAAGCCATGAAGTTTGCCAGAGCTACTCCTTTTGATTATGGAAGTGGACATGTTAATCCAAGAGCTGCCTTGGACCCTGGGCTCATCTTTGATGCAGGTTTGCTTTCTTCATCCCCCTAATATAACTAATTCGTTTGTCTAATTCTTTTATAAATGGCTAGTTAGCTTGAAATGAAGAGTCAGGTAATATCTATGAATTTTTTTTTAACCATGTTCACAGAGGATTACCCAAGTCATAAAATTCAACTTGAAAGAACTAATGAACATCGTCTGAGGCAAAGTCTCATGAAACTACTGGTTTACTTTATCCTTCCAAGTCCCCCTTTATCAAGATGCTTGGTAATAAAATTGAAAGTGACTAAATTATGGTAGAAAAGTTCGTGATTGTGACAAATGGAATAGACCTGTTAAAATCTTCTCCAAATACATGCATGGGAAGAAGAGACGGGGTTAAGTTAATATCTTCAACATATTTAAGCTAAGATCTGGATATTCTCCGCCTCATTCTCTATTCTTCTATTTTATTTTTTTTTCCCAACATTGGGCTCATGTAGCAAAGTGTATTAATGCACTACCAAAGTTGGAGTAAATTAAAAAAATAGAACTGCTTTACTAATTTTGTAACCATCTTGTAGGATACAAG